CCCAGAAATCCCACTCTATTGAGTTAAAATTCACACTTTTTGAATTTGGTATAGAGCTTCTCCTTCCTCAGTATTTCGAGAATAATCATTGTGTTCCGTATGTTCATGCTCACTCTTTGAATAGATTAGTATATCGTCAATAAATACAATAACAAACTGATCTGGATTGTTATTGAAAATCTGCTTCATGAGATCCATGAAGACTGTCAGTGCTTTTGTCAAGCTGAATGGTATCACCAAGAACTCATAGTGCCCATGTTGAATTCTAAATGTTGTTTTAGGAATGTCAATTGCTTTAATTTTCAACTGGTGATAGCCTGATCTTAAATCAATTTTTGAGAAGACCTTGGTACCTTGTAGCTGGTTAAATAAATTTTCAATTTTGGGTAGGGGTATTTATCTTTAATTGTAATACGGTTCAGCTTTTGATAATCAATGCACATTCTCATCAAAACACTAGGTCTAATAAAACCATTGTTTAGCAACTCGTGCAATTGTACTTTCAATTCTTGAAGTTCTACTAGTGCCATACGATAAAGGGCCTTGGAAATTGGCTTGGCACCTGGTACGAGGTCAATAATAAACTCGACCTCTCGGTTTGGAGGCATTCCTAGTAAATCTTCTGGAAATACATCTGGAAAATCCCTAACTACTCAAACTTCGTTGATGGTTAGCTCTTTCTGATTAATGCCGGGCAAAGATATCAAGAACCCCTGTGCTGACTTTTTCAACAAATTTTTAGCCTGCACTATGGTATAAGTCGAGGTAGTAATTTCACCCTTGTTCCAAAAAAATGAAATTCTTATTCACCAGGTTGTTGAAAAATTACATCATTCTCAAAACAATGAATGGTTGTATGATTTTTTGACAACCAATCCATTCCAAGTATAATGTCAAATTATGTTTCAGACTACCAAGTTTGTTTTTATAATCTTCCCATCCATTTCTAAATTTAGGTTTCTCGCTATATAAATTTCATTAAACACCTTCCTAGATGGTAGTGATACTTCTAATATGTTATCAAGGGGTGCACATTTTATATTCGACTTTGAAATGAATATCGAAGAAACAAACAAGTGTGTAGCTCCCGAATCAATTAATATAAAAGCAGGCATGTCAGAGATTGATATGATACTTGCCACCACATTGCAGTCATGCTTTGCCTCTTTCTGGGTAAAAGCAAAGACTCTGACCTTGCCCACCTTATGATCATCCGCCTTCTTATATTGTTCCTTAGTGTAGTCTTTGACAACTTGTCCTGGCACGCTACATCTGTAACAGACACATTTTCTTGCTAAGAACTCTCCATTATGAGGTTTTTAACGTTTAAGACAAAGTGGTTGTTGATTCTTATCACTGATGCTGGCATTTGTTTCTATCCTTCCCTTTTTGTTGGGGTCTTTCCCATTCCTCTTGATATCCAGTGCTATTTACTACATTCACCAATTTGGTCATCGTCAAAGGCGTATATTTGTGCCTTTTCTAGAGCTCCCTAAGAAGTACCTAATTGGAATATTGCTAGTGCTTTCCTAATGTCAGTTCTCAGTCTAAGCTCAAAACTCCGAACTCGTCTCTCCTCTATGTCCACCAGATGTGAGGCAAATCTGATGCTTGAACTACTGTTGTAAGTACACGTCACAGACCCTGCTTAGATGCATCGCTGTAGATAATGAAGCCTTTTACCCTTTCGTTATAGTCAAAACTGGAGCTGAGGTCAATTTCTATTGTAGTTCTTGAAAGCTTTGTTCGCACCTATCTGTCCATTGGAACTTTTCATTTCTTCTCGTTAGCTAAGTCATTAGGATGGCAATCTTTGAAAACCCTTCAATGAATCGCCTATAATGACCTGTTAATCCTAAGAAGCTGCGCACTTCTCTAACGTTAGTTAGCGGAGACCAATCGGCATTTGCTTCCACTTTACCTAAGTTAACTTCAATTCTTTGAGCTGTGATTACGTAGCCCAGAAATCCCACTCTATTGAGTTAAAATTCACACTTTTTGAATTTGGTATAGAGCTTCTCCTTCCTCAGTATTTCGAGAATAATCATTGTGTTCCGTATGTTCATGCTCACTCTTTGAATAGATTAGTATATCGTCAATAAATACAATAACAAACTGATCTGGATTGTTATTGAAAATCTGCTTCATGAGATCCATGAAGATTGTCAGTGCTTTTGTCAAGCTGAATGGTATCACCAAGAACTCATAGTGCCCATGTTGAGTTCTAAATGTTGTTTTAGGAATGTCAATTGCTTTAATTTTCAACTGGTGATAGCCTGATCTTAAATCAATTTTTGAGAAGACCTTGGTACCTTGTAGCTGGTTAAATAAATTTTCAATTTTGGGTAGGGGTATTTATCTTTAATTGTAATACGGTTCAGCTTTTGATAATCAATGCACATTCTCATCAAAACACTAGGTCTAATAAAACCATTGTTTAGCAACTCGTGCAATTGTACTTTCAATTCTTGAAGTTCTACTAGTGCCATACGATAAAGGGCCTTGGAAATTGGCTTGGCACCTGGTACGAGGTCAATAATAAACTCGACCTCTCGGTTTGGAGGCATTCCTAGTAAATCTTCTGGAAATACATCTGGAAAATCCCTAACTACTCAAACTTCGTTGATGGTTAGCTCTTTCTGATTAATGCCGGGCAAAGATATCAAGAACCCCTGTGCTGACTTTTTCAACAAATTTTTAGCCTGCACTATGGTATAAGTCGAGGTAGTAATTTCACCCTTGTTCCAAAAAAATGAAATTCTTATTCACCAGGTTGTTGAAAAATTACATCATTCTCAAAACAATGAATGGTTGTATGATTTTTTGACAACCAATCCATTCCAAGTATAATGTCAAATTATGTTTCAGACTACCAAGTTTGTTTTTATAATCTTCCCATCCATTTCTAAATTTAGGTTTCTCGCTATATAAATTTCATTAAACACCTTCCTAGATGGTAGTGATACTTCTAATATGTTATCAAGGGGTGCACATTTTATATTCGACTTTGAAATGAATATCGAAGAAACAAACAAGTGTGTAGCTCCCGAATCAATTAATATAAAAGCAGGCATGTCAGAGATTGATATGATACTTGCCACCACATTGCAGTCATGCTTTGCCTCTTTCTGGGTAAAAGCAAAGACTCTGACCTTGCCCACCTTATGATCATCCGCCTTCTTATATTGTTCCTTAGTGTAGTCTTTGACAACTTGTCCTGGCACGCTACATCTGTAACAGACACATTTTCTTGCTAAGAACTCTCCATTATGAGGTTTTTAACGTTTAAGACAAAGTGGTTGTTGATTCTTATCACTGATGCTGGCATTTGTTTCTATCCTTCCCTTTTTGTTGGGGTCTTTCCCATTCCTCTTGATATCCAGTGCTATTTACTACATTCACCAATTTGGTCATCGTCAAAGGCGTATATTTGTGCCTTTTCTAGAGCTCCCTAAGAAGTACCTAATTGGAATATTGCTAGTGCTTTCCTAATGTCAGTTCTCAGTCTAAGCTCAAAACTCCGAACTCGTCTCTCCTCTATGTCCACCAGATGTGAGGCAAATCTGGATATCTTCTTGAACTTCTGCTCATAATCAGTAAGCATCGTGTTCCCATGTAAGGTTACATTGTTGCTCCTCGGTGCGTGATCTAGTAGTCATCTTCCACTAATGAAATACCGCACAAAGGATTTTTTGTGCTCCAGTGAATTCCATAAACCTGAAAATAGCAGCTAGTGGATTGGGGTCACCTTCAAACACGGGTGGGTGCATCTTACAAAATTGTTCTAAAATTGAAGATGATCTATGCTTGCCTTATGGCTGTTGAGGTGGTGGTTGTTGCGACATCTCTTGTGTAGTAGCTAGTAATTCTCATGTGAAGTTAGTCGCCATCTAAACCTTAAATATAGGGATTGTATATTAGTGGCCATTCAAGTTAATTCAACCAACGTGATACAGCTGATAATGATATAATACTTGAGTATAAATCGTGTTGTTTCTGTTCAATATATTCTTATTGTTTTCGATAAGATTTGACTAAATGGACTTTACATAAATTTTTTTGAGTGGGTTTGTAATATTGCTTTTGTTTTGTTGATTTGAATAAGGCATAATTGAAAGGCTTCTAAATGAGGAGGCGGTCACAAGTGGACTACTTAAATTCTAAGCTCGCATCAGACTGTTTAGGTCTTTTTGACAAAGACTTTCAATCTTGTGAATACGTAAATCAAGAAAACTCAAAATAATGAATTCCCTGTTAATTTATTTATTTATTTTACATAATCATTGATTCACTCAGTTGCTCTTCTAATCCTCATCATGGCTCTATGGAAATAAACATCGCGATAAATTTTCTGTAAAATATAACAACTTAACTTTCTACAAAAAAGATATATCAAGTTCAAGTAATNTTTTTCTTCTCTCTCTCTCTCTCTCTCTCTCTCTCTCTCTCTCTCTCTCTCTCTCTCTGTGTGTGTGTGTGTTATTCTCTATGAATTTGTGTGAATTGAAGTGTAACAATAGGAGGGTATTTATAAGTATGATTAGATAAGTATAGTTAACTAATTAGAATTTTAATAGGACTCTTAATTCAAATTTAAATTGGTCTTTTGACTAACGAACTTGTCATGAAATTTGAATTTAAGAAAATTCTAACTACATGAGGATAAGATTTCATTGTGGATATATGCAAATTTCAAGTTTTATCTAAATACTTTTATATCATATAATTCAATAATAATTTAATAGATATCCAAAATAATATCAAAATTTAATTTCGCCTAAAATTCATATATATCCAATTATTAGGAATATTAATAAAAGGTCCCTAGAAAATGGTAAAGTTGCTAAGTTATCCTAAAATCTCAAAACTTGCATTTATGCCTCATAATATATTGTATGTATGTATGTTTGGGGTATTACATTACAGACTAGAGCAAATAAATCTGTCAATGTACTTTTTCTGCGGCTTAAATCTAAACGAGGTCTATAATGTTTATGCAGCTTTTGGTATGCCTTAGGGTGTTGATCCGAAGATGCGTTTATGATAATGTTAGCAAGGATGAGATGCACAAACTCTTTCCTGCTGAAGTCCTGCCTGAACTACAAAGATTATTGACGCTTTTATTGCAAAAATTCCAGAAGGAATGGCGTGAGGATATATCAAAGGATCAGGTGAGATATTTTATTTTACTACAGAACAACCAATATTAAGGTTTAGTGCCGATAGACTTGGGATCGTGTTTCAAGAATTCTTTTTCGCCATTCCTTTGATTTGAAACTAAATATTTGCATCCAAAAAAGTCAAATCCAGAACTCCATCTTTTGAAAGGTCTAAGAAAATCAAATTTTATTATTATGAGTAAGAGAGCCTATTTGGGATAGCTTCTGCATTTTGTAGAGTAGCTTCCTAAGAAAGCCACCTTAGGTTTGCTTCCTCTAAAAGTTTTTAACCAGACGAAGGTTAGAAAAAGGTAGTTCCAGAGAATTATCCAAATAGACTCAAAGTAGTTTTTAGTATCAGAGGCAGATTTTGACTTTTCAAAAATCCTGTCAAATCTTAGACTTTATATAGCTTTATTGTCTTCAGGTCGACCCGCCCAGCTTGAAGACAATGACATGGAGCATGGCAAATCAAGAAACAGAACTGACAAGCCCAGCAGCAGTTATCAATTTGAAGGCATGTTCAACTTTGCCGAGCATGAACATCTCACTGTTTCTCATTTTTCTAATGAAAGCTCAAACTTTCTGCAGCTTCAAAGCAATACCCAGCCCAACTCCGGAGAAAGGGACGTGAAATTCCAGTTGGCAAAGGATACTCTGGAAACGATGTTAAGCTCCATGTATAGTATTAGGGACCAGTTGACTGATCCTGTAAGTCTTAGTGCCTCATCGTAGGAACTTTCCCAATTTATTGAAATGATTAATTTTTATCCCTGGATAAAATTATATATTTGTTCGATGCTGAAATTCTCATCATGCTCTGCAATAATCTTATCAGAGTGAAACATCCGAGAGAGATGCGGTTCAGAATACAAATGCTGCATAGTCCCTTGTTTGTCTCAACTAAGAAGGTATTTTATTTGCTTTTGGCTATCTGAATTTTAATAGGAGTGCATTCCCTGATAGTGTTTGCTTTCCCTTCTGGCTATTCGTATATCTAATCATAATTCTTGTGGGTAAGCTGTATTAATACAGTTGTTATCATGGCTAGGTAGTGATGGTGCACAAATAATTACTAGTCTGTGGCAATCTTGTGTACTACTTGAGTCTACATCTGTTTTTCAGTTTGCATAGAATACATGTATGTACCATTTAAATCCGTTTAATTTCATATAATTGCATCATTATTGACCTGTGAAGCACAGATACTCCTCCTAGGGTGGAATGTCAGCCCGACGCATATCAGATGCCGATGCTTGGAGACTTTAAAATGTGTCTTAACACATAACGTGACATGTTCTCTTTTTCATACTTCTTTTAAATTTCCAACACTCGAGAGACGCTTCATGAGTGCTCCATGTCGCCTGTCCTGTATTTTTATATTTTATTGATTTCTGACATGACGGACTGCCCCCGACCCATCAGATTTTGGAATTAAAAATTAAGAAAATTTATGAAAACATTTGTGTGAAAAAGTCAAGATAATGTGAGAAACATTCTATGAACATCAAATTTGTTCTATACCTACTATATGAATTGTTTCGTCCCCCCTAGTACTAAATAGCACAACCCAACTATAATTTAAAAGATCACTTGCAAATCTCAAAGTCAAAGCTAAAAATGAATATAAAGATTAAGATAAAGATATAATGCATATTGACACATTTTTTTATGGATCCTAATCGATGTGTCGTGCCCTTAGTTGTTGGAGGCAATTGAACTTTTTTTCAGCAACTTTAAAGCATTCATGAGAAAAAGAACTGCAGGGACTAATGTATATTTGGTAAAGCTTTTTGCAGATTATAAGCAGTGGGTTTTAGAGAATGTGCAGAAGAAAAGTGGATAAAAGTTGTGAGTTCTACGGAATGTGTGGATAAAAATTGGGGTCCTATGAAATGTGTAAATAAAAATGATGTTTGGCCAGCTAATATGTTTGTAAAAGCTCTCCCGAACATGCTCTAAGACTCCTATATTAGTTTGGAAAGTGATATAGATCTGATGCGAGACAAGATTCCTTTTTCCCGTGCATGTGTAACCCTGCTTGCACAGTTGCACCTTGAGAGATGGAACAAGGCGTAACTATGGCCCAAACCAATAAAAGATATTACTACCATACAAACGATCAAATTGATCCTTAGTACCACAAGAGGAGCCATAGGAACATTTATGTTCTCATCTTGAGGCTACAGAATGTTGTATAGAGAAGAAAAAGAGTAGAATCATATATTCACGAGAACTAGTAACCCAGAAGAAATACCTGGCATGTGGGTTATTTAAAGTATAATTGCTTGGATAAATTATTAAATTTCAATAAATTTTATACTTCTTAAGTGGAGTTAGTGGATAATATTCTTTTTTTCTTGAGTGTGTAAATACCTTTAATATTTTTTAATCTGGTATTGTGATGAGTGCATTCAATGTACTGGTGGGTGTCGTGAAGGATGGTTTCTAGTTGCATATAAATCTTGGATGCTACTATGCATTAACTTTGCAGGTTTGTGCAGGTGTTGTCCTAATTTGGCCTGTGCTAGCGACGTATAATGTCGACACTTGAAGATCTTGTTGAACTTGAGGTTGTGCTTAAGCTGCTGCAACATTTAGTGCATTTGCTGAAAAGGCACACAATTTTGGGCTTCTCTTCCTCAAGTAATGGAAATGTCTGCCAAATATTTCTTTTACTTGGACTGCATAGTTCTTTTCACTCCTTTACTTATTGGATCCTTTGATGTATAATGCTACTGGATTATAAGTTTTATTTTTCCATTGAGAGCGCCTAAATTAAAATTTATGGGATTATAAGATGTGAATTTTATAAAATGTGTGGATATTAAGTTAGTAGTCTTTTCAAATTTTAATACAAAGCAGACGAACCAAAAAGCAGCCGTATTTTTCTATTCCGAAATCCAAAAAATGTTCTGCTTAAGCAAATTGAATGAAAATTTTAAGGGGCACAATGGTCTTTTCCTCAGTCTACTTGAATTGATTTGCAAAAAGCAGTCAATAGTGGCAGCAACAGTTGAGTCTACATGATTGTACGACGGCTGGGTTTCTTATTAAAAAAGGTTGAATCCCAACGTTGAGGGTCCCCACCACTCCGTCCCTGAAATATCGTGAGGGAGGTAAATTTTGGGATATGCTCCAGCAAGTTAGAGAACAAGAAATTTGTACATAATGGTGCCCAAACAAGCGGTAAGTGTGGATATAAAGTATTTAAGTTGATAATTTAATATTTGCCAAACATGTACATTACCTTGATTTGCCAAGGATGTGCTACGAATCGCTACACTGCTACCAATTGTTACATGTCTTGGTCACAGTATTTTTTATTTATATCCAACACTGCTATCCACAAAGGGATTATTGGATGGGTTGGGCTATGTTTCCATTGGGATTTTCTTAAGAGTTTTGAGAATGCAGTTAAGGGCTGCAGAGGCTTCTAAGTAGGTGAGATTCTCCTACTCTCTCGCTATGTCATGAATTATGTGAACTGCTTGTGGATTATACTGATACCCTCGATGCACTTTTGAAGAATGTGGAGGATGAATCAGGAGAGTCATGGAATGAAAATAAGGATAATTTGGAGATGGATAACACATCACTGTTAGCTCGACATCTACTGGTACTGATCAAATCTTTAATAAATCTTGAGGAGAAGTCGAGAATGTATGAGGGTAATGCAATGCAATATATATTTTTAATGAACAATATACTGTACATAGTCCAGAAAGTGAAAGACTCATGGCATCGAAACTTTTTGGCAGATAACTGGATCAAAAAACAAAGGGGTCAGATTCGATAGTATTCAACATATTGTCTTAGGGCAACTTGCAGAAAGGTCTTATCTTGTTTGAAAGATGAACGGATGGGGGGNTTTTCTTTTCTTTTCTTTTGTTATATTTTTTGAGGGGCAGGGTGTGGGGTTGTTAAAGTGACCTGTTGCAGAAGCCATGTGGCCTAATTGAAAGTCTACCTTTTTTTCTCGTTGTAAAAGTAGCGTTCTTGTGTTGTAGTAGTATTCAGCAAGTTGTGGCATTACGACCAGTTTTATCTTTTGACCTCGATTTCTACCGACAATAGATGTTGGGCCCACTCGCGCACATGTGAGCTATTTTCGACACGTAGGGACGTGTTGCTAGTCGTGAATACGCCGAATATAGACGTGGGAGAAGCTCAACAACACGAGACAAATATGCTCGAGTTCCAGTGTTAGATTTGGGAAACGACTATATGATGATAACCAATCGCAAATTACTGGATCACAGCAAAGTAATGTTAATTCGATGCTAAATAAGAGTAAAACTGATAAGAGAGAAAAGTAAGGGATGGTTTAAGTATTTAGAGTTGCATTAGTCTTTAAAGGTTACATAAGGGGGATATTTATAGTATTACAAATGAAATAGTGGCCCTTGTATAAAAATACATGGTCTCATCTCTTTAGTCGAAATATCTAATCATAGGCATCAGCTTGGACTCGCTAGCCTGTAGTGCATTTAATGCTTAAACAGAACTGCTACTCTATTGACAAGACTTGACATTATACTCATTATAAATATCACATCAATCATTCTAAAAAGATTTCATACATAATGCCAGGATCTTCTTTATGTGGGTCATTACTTGCTGTAGCGGGCTT